GCCAACATTTCACGTAGCCCCAGACCACGGTTACTAAAAACCAGACTAACGTTTACTCATGGAACTCCATGGTTTACTCTACCTTTATTTTATTAGTGTCGGCGTTTCTGTTTTCGTTTTCTCTTGTTGGAGTCGACAAGTATGTAAAAATACTGGGATTTTAGACTATATATCAGTAATCAGGCCCGGAGCCAGACTAATTTCTTGTTCCTGCCAGCACTCATAAAAAGCGTTCTTCACCAATCACGTAAACAATTTTCCCACTGGAAATACTACGAGTGAATGAAAATACAAATTTAAATGCAAAATAAACACGAAGTGAAATCTCAGTGCTCACGATATTTGTGTAATAATAACTTCGGATGGTTTCAATCTGGAGCAGTCGAGGGATACGCATTTGCCTTCTGAATTGAAGTCATGCCTGCGATAACCAAAAATGAATTACCTTTTAAAAGACTAACTTCAATCTGAACTAAGCACATGAAATGCACAGACAGACGCATCCTTGCAGAACGACATACAGGCAGCGTATCTTCCGTCTTAAACTAAAACGTAGACTTGTTCAGAACTTGAATAAGGTAAAATCTCTATAACTAGGACGTTTTGTTTTTTCTAAAAGTCAGCATTTTCATCAACAACGAGGGATACAATTTTATATAAAAATCACTGGAAAGGCGTGTAACACTCATATGTCTTACTTATACTAGCCGAGTGCCACTGGATTTAATATTAAACTTTCTCGGGCGCGATTGGTGAATTAAAACGGGAACCCCGAACCCGACCCACCGAGTCTCACACGATACGTACGTCAGACAGGTTAATTTTGTGCACCGGTCTTGCACCAATAAAGAATGGGCAATACAAATCGGCGAATTCAGTGACTGTTTCAAGTTGATTTTCTGGACACCCACACAATTTATTTTCAACTGACGTTATTTTCTCTCTACATTCACCATCACCTGTACATGCCAGGCAATGGCGTATTTATCATCAAATATTCGTAACATAAACTACTATGCCATTTTCATGGTTCGCGGGGAATACGATTATTATGCAAGGAATGAAGATTGAGACGTATATATTGTTGGTTACATAAAGTCTGCAGACTAAAGATTGAAAATAAAACACCATACCTATTCACCGGCACCCTTGTGTGGACGAATAGTTGACAACCTACACCGCGTTTACGGTGGACTTTGTACGTCTATCACCTATCCGCACGGACAATCTGATGCTTGCAACGACTCCTGTCACGAAGTCAATAAGAAAACTATCCGAGCATAACTACGTCCTCATCAAGCCTATATTTACATATATAACAGGATATTGTGCTTTGTGCAGTCCCACTGGCACAATATCGCCACAATAAACTCGTTCGTGGCATTCAACAAGTTGGAAGAACACTGATTGGAGGAAAGTGACAGACAAGTTCGTCACTGCGGGTGAAAGAACGCCCTCTATAGTACATATTACGTGCTCCTCCTTTTTACTTCCTGGTTGATTCGTTTTTGAAGTGGCACTGAGTTTTTGAAACATTCTTGATCTGAGGACGCGAATTCAGGAGCGACGCATCTCTAGACGTCTTTATCGAAATTTTACAAGGTATGTTATGATATATAATCGTAGTCAGCGTCAAACTTCAGTCAATTTTATTCCCATATCACTCACAATGTTTCTAGCTTAAAGCAAACGTTCACGACGTCGTTTTTCGTCAGGAGTGGCACTGGAGTAAATAAATATTATCGCAGGAGTTGATCAGCAAACTCGCAACCACTGGAAAAACAGCTCAATAACTTTTCATTGTCGAAATATTCTGTCGACATAACTTTAATTTTATTATGAGCTGAGTAATTTGTCCAAATATTAACGTTGTCTTTACACTTGTCGGTAAAGTTGTTGTTTTACTTTGTTGTTAACAAAGTCGGTCGCTGTGTTATTTTAGGTATCAGTTGATTACGTAATCGTCGGCGGGACATTGAACAAAGAACCACTGCAAGACACTTTTCCTCGAAATGGGGATTATCTCCAAATAAGGTGAACTCACCAG